GCTGCTCGCCTCCGGCCTCGCCGTAGCCCTCGGCTTCATCATCCGTCCCGGCGCCGGTGCCTCCGCGCTCAACACCCAGCTGGGGCTGTCGGGCGCGCTGCCCCCCAGCAAGGAGACGGTGGACTCCTTCCTCGACCTCATCAGGTGAGGCCGCTCCGCTCCCCTCCTTCCCCCGCCCTCCCGCTGCTGGAGGATGATGACAGACCCGGCAGTGTTGCACGCTGCAGCCGGGAAGCCCTCCTCCCCCTTCTCAGCCTCCTTCATCTTCTTATCCTCCTGCATCTTCTCATCCTCCTGCACCTTCCCCTCATTTTTCTCCTTCTCCTCAATATCCTTCTTTATCTCCTTTATCTTGCTATCCTTCTCATCCTAATCCTGGCTTCTCCAGGAGCACGGCTCTCTGCCAAAGTACCCGCAGCCCGGTCAGGTGTAGGGCTGCATGGTGATCTGCTTCTCCCCGTTTTGTTTTTCAATTGCCTCGGTGGCTGCAAGGATGAGTCGAGGCTTGCTCAGAATTCTGGGTGCCCAGGCCCGTTTTTGGTTCTGCCTGCAAGGAGAGCGGCTCCTGGGTGCTGGCTGCAGGGCAGGCTTTGCCTGGCTCCTTCCCCTGCCCTGCTACCTGTTGTTGCCTGTCTCCTGCAGGCAGGGCAGGGTTGGGCAGCTCTTCTCATCCCTCACACACACCTTTTTCTTTAATTCTCCAACATTTTACCCAGTCTCCTCACCCAAATGCCTTCCTGACCCTTTGAGTGCCCTCTCATAGACGTGGGAATGGAAACACAGCTCTGTAATTCCATGGAGGAATCGTCCAGTGTGAGGATGCTCTGTAGGTTTGTGAGCTTCCCATCCTACCTCTGCATCTGGCAAAGACAAGACTTGCATTCTCCAAATATATCAAACAAGGCTTCCACTTCTAATCAGATTATAGTGTTTTTGTGTATCTTTACTCCTCCTTGCCAAGTTGCAGACTTCACCTTTTCTGTTTTTCCTCAAAGTCCATGTCTTGTTGAGATCTGTCTGGCTTTTTTAATAAGATAGGAGCACACAGAGAAACGAGGCAAGCATCCAGATGGTGCTATGAGTATTGGGCTTCCAACTGCATTTCCTTGTGCTTTGTACCCAGGTACAAACACAAGAATAAGGGAGGTGACCTGTGTCACAGCGAAGTAGCTGGAAAGTTGAGTTTAGTGGATATCCTGTTAATTACAAAGCTGAGTGGGTTTGTTTGTTTGTTTGTTTTTATTTTGATTGTTTGCTTTGCTTTTATCAGTCCAGTTTTTCAGCTGAGATACCCTTGTGTTTTTGTCTGGACAAGTGGATGTGGCAACAAAGATAAAAAGACTTTTTTTAAAAAAAAAAAAACTAACCCCAAATCCAGAACTGTATTTACAAATTCAGGTTAATGTCCTTTTCTCCCCCTGAGACAAGTATGTTCCCTTTGGACAGAAAGTAAGTCTGGTTTGTTCCATTGGCAGTCATGTACTTAGTGTCCTCAGCTCACCTCTCCCTCTCTTAAGAACTGACAATTAAGGACCTTTCTTAAGGACCAGCAATTCCTGACAGCATGTTAAGAAGGAATAGCAGGACGATGGGAGTAGGTAGTCTGGCTGTGGTGGTGATATGTTGTTGAATGGAGGGGAGGGAGGTGAAGGAAAATTGCCAAAAAAAAAAGGAGTAGGCACACCTGGGAGAGTTGGGAAAATGTCTGTAGTGGTGGCTGTCCCAGCGCATTCTGGTGTGGCTGCTGTACCTGGTGTTACATCCCTGTGTCACCTGGCAGCATGGAGTAGGATGGAGTTGAGGAACAGGCCAGGGGTGTTCAGTAAGCTTCAGGCTCTGGGTAATATCTAAAGTTCAGAGCAGACAGCTGTTTCTTGGTCTGCTTTGTGAATGCAGGTGTAGAATTTATCTTCAAAGGGGTTATGATGGCGATGGGATTGAGTCCCTAATTCCTAAGTAGGGCTCAAAATGATGAGACTTGGGTAAAGGATGGTGGGTTGCAAAGGAATTTCCTTCTAGGAGATGAGGGGACAGGAGCTTTTCCCCAATGTACTTATGGGGCGCTGTGAATACAGATTTTTCTCGGAACCCCATAGGAGTGCTGTTGCAGCCACACTGTTGAGCAGTCAAGTTGTTACAGCAGTGACGGTGAAATCCAGTCCAGAAAAGTTGTGTTTGGACAATCAGCCATCACTAAAACTTTCAGTCTTAGTACAAATCCCTAGCAGACTGAGGGATGGAGAGAGTATGTGATTTTCAGGAAATAAGCGTGCTCGCTCTCTCTCTCTCTCTGCTGTGTAATGTTATTTTTTAACCATTCTTGTAAACGTGGGTGTTTTGGTTTGAGCACTGAACTTGGTCCCTGCTGTGATGGAACTTAGTGGAGTAACCTCATCTTGAGATAACAAAGCCTTGATTCTATAGGGCCTGGAGGGTTAAAATGATTGATTTTTGCATGGGTGGGTCTTGCAGCATCCTGCTCTGTGCTTCTCCTTTTGTCTCCTTTGGCCATGAAACTTTCTATTAGATGCAAGAAAACTGTTTTAAGTTGTGGCACAAGGCTGACTGTGTCCTTCAAGGATTTGCTGCTGCTTGGTTTCAGAGGAATGGTAAAAATGAGTTGCAAATGGGTAAACTGAGTGCCCCTAGAGCACTGAAAACCAATGTAAAACATGACCCAAGGAAGAAACAGCATAGAGGAAATCACAGCTGTGTGTCACTGTTTGGTTCTGCAGATCACTTCTGTCTTTAGGAAGTCTATTAGGTAATGACCAAAGATGTTGCTTTTCATTGTCACAGTGATGTCTGGAGGCCAGCTTACTTCTTGGTTTTCCTTTTTGAAGTCTAAAGTTTCCCCACAAACATGTGTCTAGGCATGGAGAAACGACTTCTGGAAAAAAGATTTGTCTTGGGCTTTGGTATCAAATGAATGATGACTCACTGGTGAACCCAAAGGCTGTCTGTTTTATTCTGTCCATCGACCATAACCTCAAGGTCTGATTTGTCTGGCTGGAGGTACTGGAGCACCCTCCTGGTTTCCCTTCTGGCAAGTGCTAGAGGCAAGTGAGCCTTGAGCATGTCTAGTCAGGGGTTAGGCATGCTGTCCTCTGCCCCAGGACATGGGGTGGGGACAACAGAGATGTCATAAGGTGCTTTTAATCCCTGCAGCAGGGTTGCTGATGGCTCATCTCATCTCAAATCTGTCATGTGGGCAGCTCCTTGGAGCTTCCTAAAGAGGAGTGTGGCCGAAGGCAGTGATCATGGGAGGGAATCAAGAGTTCACAGCTACTTCCACAAGTAAAATAACTGTAATAAAAGCACCTAGAAAGTGGGGTGTTCCCTGAACTCAAGGCAGGATCTTAGAATTCCTTAAATCTGTTGGCAGAAGATGAGGGGAGTGAAGGGAAATTTTAGAATTTCTGGGTTTTTCCCTTACTTGTTTATTTGAGGGAGAAGATAAAGCAATAAAGAGAGCTCATAAGCTTGATTGTGAAGTGGTTGGCAGCTGGAGGAACGGGCTGGCTGGGATGTGGTGGGCTCTGGAGCTCAGCCACCACCTGAGAAGGTGACAGTTTAGAGAGCCAGCTTGGCTCTGCTTGTGCCCAGCATGCAACCAGGGAGAGGGAGTCCCAAGGATGGGACTCCAACCACCTGCTCACACAGCCCATCTGCAGCTTGTTGGAGAGCTGTTGAAACAGCAGGATGAAGTGTTTTGCAAGAATCTATTGATTTGTTAACACTTTTGATGGGCAATTGTCACAACTGAATGTTTCAGTAAGGTCAGAGTTTTGTTCTAGCTCTGATTTATATTTGCTGATTCAACAAAATTGAACAGTTTTCACAGGAACCTATTGATCCTTCCAAAATTTCTGTCAGTGGGTGATCGTTTCAGTGAGGTCAAAAGGACTTAAGCAGAAAATCTCACTCATCAAAAAAGGAACATTTCAACAGAGTATTTTACTATTTGTTTTTAGTGGAAAAAGGGATCTGAAACAGGCTTTCTTTGCCCAGTTTTGGGATGAAAACATGTTTTGCAACTGTGGAATTTGCTATGGGGAAGGGAATTCTGTTTTTAATCCAACCCTAGCTATAAGAGTCCGGGAAGGGAAGGAAGTAATCCCCCTTTTTTTTTTTGTAGGAAGAGTGCACAGAGGTCCACACGTCTGCCCCAAGCAGTAAGGTCAGGGTTTCCCAGTTTGCCAGGCAAGTCTGCAAAAGCTGTTTAAATTTCATTGCTTCTCAATGCCCTCTCTGTCTCTCTGTCAGATATTAGCAGCTGAGCTGCCAAAAGGAGCACCCACAGCAAGCTCATGGCTTTGCACCAAATGCCTGCAGAGCTGTAGGGAAGGCAGACATGAGCACAGGGAGAAGCATCAGTCGTGTTTTGCTGTCTGGGCTGCAGAGCAGGTGGCCAGAGTGGGCCACTCGGGCAGTGACCCTCTCCTGGGCACTAGTTGCTCCAGTAGCACTTGTTCCTTATAGCCTTGGTCTTCCCAGTGAGTCATCCCACAGCAGCAAACATGAAAACCGTCTCTGAAATCCCAATGTGGAAAACCAATAAAATGTGACTGTTAGAAGAGGAGGGGGGAGATGCTGCCTTTGAATTAATAAATGGAATAAAAAGTGTCCAGGCAATGGCTGCAGTTAGGCCAAGAAACAGGCTGACCCCTGGGTTTGAAGCTGATGGCTAGTTCTTAAAATGAAGTAACTGTCCCGCTTTGCTTGTGTCACTTTCTCAGTCTGGAATCTCTCTCAAAGTACAGGGGTTTCTGACTGAGTTTTGTAGGAAGAACTCGGTGTTTCCATTCATGTGCCTGCACTCTCTGGCAGGGTTTTTTTAGTAAGCCTGTGAACATTTCTGCTCATTCCATTTGTTCCTTATATTTGTTGCCTTTTACTACTGACTCCTTCTAGTTAGGTTTTATTTTCCAAGAATCAAAAATACAGACTGGACCATTAAGGCAAAAAAAGTATCAAATATCTGCTATAAGTAAACATTTTCAAGTTTCTCTGAGTTAAAACAAATGCACACACTCACAAATACGAGTATGAGCAGGGCACATGTTGTGCATCCACATATGAAAAAGCAGATGAGGAAAATTGCTGTGTGATACTGAATGAAAATCTTGGGACAGAAAAAAAAAATGAAGGTGCTGGAGGAATTCTAACTGGGCTCTGGCATTTTGCCACAGACAGCAATAAAGTTGCTCTGAGTAGACTTGTACAATTGGAAAAAAAACCCTGAGAACTGGAGATAGTCTACAGAAAAATATTCTGTGTTGGTTTTCTCAAAAAAGTGTGTTTTTCAATAGCAAGGTCTTTGGCCTCAGAAGTGGAACCTTTTTGTAAGAAGCAATGCAAGAGGAATGTGTAGTATTTTAGGGTTTCATTCCATTTGCCTGGATTTCCCTTCATGCTTTTGCTGCCAGAGCAAAGTTGTTTGCAGAGCTCTAGCAAACGAATCATTTAAAAACAGTTATTAAAAATAATCCCTTACACATACAATGGAGGAGTTCCTGTGTAATCCTTATCCTGCTGATGGAAAGATACAGGCCTGTAAAGAAGAGAGCAATTTGACCATAATATCAAAATGGAGAGGGAAGAGAGTTACAGCCCCACTTTTCTCCCTTTGCCGGCTCCAGGTTCTCTTAGTTGTCTGGGATTACAAAGAGTGGATGTTGCAGCTAAACTAAGATTTCTATTACAGCAGAAATACAGTGGGGTCTTCCTGGGGAGTAATGGTCCATTTTTGACTGGAAGGAGCAGCATTTCACAGGAAGAAAGGTGCATTTATCCAGCTGTGCATGGGGAGATGGTGTGATGAGTGCAGTATTCAAGCAGGAAATACAGCCTGTAACACCTGCACTTGGTGCTGCTACTTTCTTGTTCCAATTTTAAGAGGATCTGAGAGAGTGCTTTCTCACCCTTTGTGTTGTGCAGTTACATGGAGGTTTCCTGGCTCAGTCCAGCTGTTACTTCAGCCCCAGGATACAGCTGTCCCCCTTGGCAGCTGTCTGATGGATTTCTGATAGGGCTTTTTTTTGGGGGGCTGTTGCGCAGCTTGCAGCAGGCAGAGAGAGGCTTTCCTGCCTGGTGCTTGGTAAGGGGAATAAAGTCCCTCTGTGCCACCTACCTCACTTTTATGGCACAAAGGAATTGGGGTCTGTGCGTGTGTGGAGCGAGGTGCTGGCCGCAGTGGAGCACCTGGGTTACAGGCAGCACATCTGTCCCCCTGCTGTGGTGTGTTACTGGCCTGGCTCGTTAGTGCCACGTGCAGCGAGTTTTGTGTCCCTGCATTTGGGGCCAAGGCTGTCTGATCCCACACTGCTGTGCCGGCCCCTTATCACCCAGAGCCAGGGTTTGGCCAGCGCCGTGTTCCTGCGATAATCCACATCTGCTTCAGAAAGGCGACCGTGTTCTCTGGCACGGGGCATGGGGCCATCAAAAACAGTCAACAATCCAGCCATACAACCAGGGTGATTTCCCTAAACTCCACGTTCACACTTGATAGAGGCTTTCAAAGCACAAAAACCTTCTAAACCTTTGGTCTTCGCAGAAAAGCCAACTGGCAGACACCCAGATTTCATTTGCATGCCCAATTACCCGGCTCATCAGCTTTCCTGTTTGTTGGTTCACCCTCACAGGAGGGATGTCCACACTTCCCCTGTGAGCTCCTCTGCTCACAGGGACAGAACTGTTTCTGTGGTGGGTGAGCTTCACCTCACCAGGCGTGAGGAGCAAACCCTGCAGGCACAAATCCACGATGGGCCCAGGCAGATCACCAGCCAGCTTTTATCTCTCCCTGAAGCACGCAGCATCTTGCCCCATTTTTTAGGCGCTGCGGTGGTGTTCTTGCACAATTCCATCCAGAGGCAAGAACTTGTGATCTAACCCACCTGTAATTAAAGTTGAATTTAATTCACATGCTGACTGATCTTAGGTGAGCAGAAGTGTAGTCTGTGCAGACCTTGTGCCTCTAAGATAAGCCATTTATTTGTAGATTGCTTTTTATGACCCGACACATTTTGTTCTTAAGCTTCGGGATTTGAAACAGAGAAGCAAAACATTATTTTATGTGGTTTTGGTATTTTGCCGTCAGGTGTACTTAGAAGCTGGATTGAACAGAACATACAACTCTTTTCTGAGCTGCTTAAAATCCAGATTTTTTACTTGGCAAATTCTCAAGTCGGTGCTGGTGTTTCAAGTCTGAAGACTGGTGTTGGAGGAATAAAGCAAAGTGTCTACTCTATTCTTTTTTAGCGTTACTCACACTTGGAAGAAAGAACCTGTCCCTTGTCCTGCTGTAATAGGGTTGCTGGCATCACTTAGCTATGTGCTTTAAGTATATGCTTGGAGATAAGTTAATGTTTAGTTACTGAGGCCCATGCCTGACATACTGTGCAAATTATGGAGGGTTTGGTTTCCTGGCCACATTTAAACATTGGAGAACCATGTTGTTTAGGCTTTAGGATTGCTTCCTTTGGTTTTGTTTTCATCAGGATGGAAAAGCTGATTTAAAGAAAAAAAAAAAAAAGAATTGATTTCTGGTTGGTTTTCAGTCTTTTTTCATCTCTTTACTTCTTCAAAGTCCAGTCAGTTCTTTTTTTAAAAAAGTAATCATCCTGCTATGAAAAGCTATGAAAAGAAATATCCTTCTTTTCCCAACAGCATGAGCCCATTTGTATATATGATATTTTACTCCTGATAAAAGCAAGTTTGCTTTTACTTGACTCAAGGTTTTTATCCACCAGAGAGTTCCAGCTGTGCAAGAACTGATGCGCGTTAGCTGTTCCATTGATCTTATTTGACCAATTCTTTGGCGTCTTTGCTGAGTGAGAGCTCACTCTCCTGCTTTCAGACAGACAGCTGTATTGTCAGCTTTAGAGGAGAAAAAGTTGCTGTTTCTTTAATGCTTGGTGGAATGTAGACTCCAGAAGATAAATTATTTTTGCAGCAATCCTCCTAATACACTTGTAGTGCATCAGAGAGAGAGAGAGAGAGAGAGAGGGGCTGAGGTATTTCACAGCAGATAGGTGTTTGATGAAGTTCCATGTCCTTTACAGTTGCTGTCAAGGCTATGGGAAAACTCCCTGTATGGCAGGAGAACAGAACCATGCAACCAAATAGACCAAAGTCCTTATCTGGGCCATATTTTAATCTCCTTCTTGCGCTCCTTTTCTTGCTCTGGTTTGGATTTGCACATTCTATGCCATTCGTGGAATGACCACAGCCTGGTTTAATGTTTGTCTGGGTAACTACAGCAAAAACAGGGGCAAGTTAGCAGGGCACAGCCTGGAGGGAGCTGCAGCTTCCTAGGAGCAGTGCAAAGAGCAAAGGATGGCGAGCAGCTATCCAAATGGTTTTTTACCACAATTAACTGGCTCTGGGTAAGGTCTTCTGTTTCTGTACCATAAGAGTTCTAGTGCCTCTGTGATGCCTTCTGCTGGCAGTATTTTCAGCTCATACCCATCATGTTCCTGCCCTTGCCAATTGGGGTCCTGCCATGACCCCAGAGATGAGCTTTTATTACTATTTTCCTTTCTGACACAGAAAACCAAGAGTGGTCATTTGGCTGGGGAAACACGTGCCCTTTGCCCATAAGGGGAAAAAGGAATTATAGCGTTAAAACCAACTATAAGATACCACAAGAAGCTTGGAAGAATGCCCTTGAATTTCCTGTCTGCATCCTGTATGCAGATACATAATGGATGGTCAGAAAGAGTGTACATTACTTTACATTACATGCTGTCCTCTCTGCACTAATCTGATGCTAGACTGGCATTTCTGTGTGAAGGCACCACTGGATTCAGATGTTCCATAGGAGTTGCCTGTACTTTCCATCTGTGTTGTGCAAGCCCTTTCAGAGAAGTCTGGCCTGTGATACTGTTCTCTGCCTTGGTGATCAGGGAAGCTGGCCTTGCTGTGTTGAAGGGTTAAGCCATTCTCATAAGTGGATTTTGCTGATTGGATTGTCCTTCAGGTTGATGCTGTGAGCGAAGTGTAATCACATGAGCAATGTTAAAAACCTGACTGACACTAAGAGGCCATGAGCTGGTGCTGCAGCTGGTGTGGCTGAACCAGTTTCTGTAGCCACAGGGCTGATGTTTAACCAGCATTGTGTGTGATTGCCTCTGGTGGCCCTGCCCAAAAGGTTAGGTGTGGTAGCAAGCATCTGTCATCTCTTTCATGTGAGCTGAGGAAGATGGTATCCACACCTCTGGACACCTAGCAAGTTCCATGTAGCTTCCGTGCTGCACACCTGAGCAGTGCCAGTGTGCCTGCCCTTGAAAATGAAATGCTGTTTCTGAGAGTAAGATAAATTGGTGCATTCATTTAAGAAGTTCTCCATGATATATTTCATTTTCTTGTTTGTCTTTTACAGAAACCTGTTTCCTGCAAATCTTGTTGCTGCAGCTTTCGAAACGGTAAGACCTGTGAGGATGTTGGACATGAGCTACAATGTATAGGATCTTTCATTGGAAGAGGACTAGAAAGATGGTGTAGAAAATACCAGAAGTTAATTTCCTTATAGAAGGTAGGGTTTATAAAAGCACATGATATAGTCAGACATACTGCTTCCATGGCAAATTATTTGAAAAATATTCCTCAAAAAAAAAGCATATTCAAAGCCCATTTTTTCTACCTTCACCAAAAATATTCTTTAAACTTGGGGTGCCATGTTGGGCAGCAGTGGCAATCCTGCTTTGTGCCATTTTTGCTTACCATTTTGCAGGAGCTAGCTGGGAATCTTTTGGCTATGTAGTTTAGAGCTGGGCTCAGAACAGACAAAGCTGAAGACCTCTAGGTTCCCATGTGTGTAAGCATTACCTGTTGCCTGATGGTTTTATTCAGTAGTTTCCATTGTATCCCTTGCTGGATTAATTTCTCAGCCCGGTTTCTCTTCCAACAGACTATGTGTGGTGGGATGATAGCTGCCACCAGAGCACAGTATGGTTTAAACTGATTGATAGGAGCTGTTTTTATATATATATATATATATATATATATATATATACATGTATATATATACGTGTGTGTGTGTATATATATATATAATTTTTTTTGATTTAGTTCTAAATGCTAATTTTAAATGTCAGGATAGAGAGTGTTGAGAATAATGTCATGGGGCAGAGTGATTCTTTATGATACAGGAGCAGAATAATAGCTTTTTGTTCTGAGGGTTTGCTTTTGTATCAAAACCAAGGGCAAACTCTTAAAATCAAGTTCCATTTTGCATGAATATATAATACAGTACAAGTCAATATTCCATGGGTAAAAACAGAAGCAGTACAAGAATAATACTATGAAAAGGATATTTTGTGATGCCTCTAGTGTTAGGGTTGTGTGTGTTCAGGGATGAAATAAAGCAGTCCTCTTTTCTTCTGTGCTGCTGTTGTCACAGGGAATTGACAAAGACGAGAAGCTTTTCCTCCCCTCATTTTATAGTTAAAGAAAACAAGCCCAAAGAAGTGCCCTGATTTTTTGAGATGTCTAGTTTATTTATCAAAATAAAGTGTTGCCCCAGGTTTTAGATGTTTTGCTGACAATTTTAATGCCTGCCTCACCATTTTTGTTTAGTTGTGTTTTTCTTCCTTACTTACAGTATGCGACAGACTATAAGATGCTGCTCAGGAACACTACCTCTGGAAATGCCACATGGGAAAAGGTAATGTCACTTCTTAGGTTTTTAAACAAATGGTTGTCAGTAATATTTGACTACTGCACAGCCTTTAATTCTTTCCAGCACTCTTGGGAAAGAAACATGCCTTCTTAGACCTGGTCTGACTTGATCTAAACAGTCTGCCTGATGTTTCCAAATAACTTTCTGTAGACTTGGAACTAAATAGCAATCAGGCTGGCTGAGTATGTCCCTTAAACCTTATTCTTCATTAAGAGTTTGGAGAGAATGAGTTTTTTCCCTCTACCCAAGGCTCTTTATAAAAATAAAAAAGAGATTTGTTGGGTTGAGAATTTTTTTCTCATTGCTGAAATTTTGTTTTAAGCAGTAGCAAATGTATCATTCTGGCTGATACATCAGTATCAGATGCTGGGCTAGTACATTTTTAATATGATTTCAAGTCCCCCAGGGCAAGAGACTTGTAATGTTTGCATTTGTCATAGAAGGGATCAGCTGGGATTTGCCCACCAGTTTGTAAAACCATCAAGGAAAAAGCAGTTTATGCTCACCCAGAGGGACTCTGGAGCCTATCCCAGAGCACAGGAAGCATTGGCTTCATTACCTTTCCTCCCCATGCGTGGTGTGTGAGCAGGTGATGCGGAACAGAGTGTTTGTGAACTCTGCTTCCAGCCCTGGGCTGAACTTTCACCTACCCTGGGGACGGGGTGACAAGTGACTGGGATGACACAGGAACTGAGCAGGGGAAAAGTCTATGCCTGGCTTGAGAGCCTGGCATCACAGGGTGAGCAGCTCCACTGGGGAAGGAGGCAGCTCCCCTGCCCGTGCCTGTTGGATGGCATTAGCCCAGATCCGCAGTCACCCCGTGTGACACGGATGCAGTCAGTGACTGCAGAATCCCAAAAGAGCACTTTCTCTCTCTGTGCCCTCGTGTCCTCGGGCAGGGCATGGCCCTGCAGCTTCCTGCTGTGAAACACATTGGGTATGAAAGGCTGTAGCAACGTGCCCTTAGATTTGTGTGCTTGTTGCAGAGTGCAGAGTTATTTGACATTGAAGCAAGTGTAAGTGAAAGGAGAGTAAATCTTTTATTTATATTCACTCTCAGGTTTGATGCGGGCTCTGTAGCGACCGAGCACAGATTAAGGCTTACCATATCCATTGGATAGAGTGTTGGCTGTCAAGTACTTTTTTTAATGCTTGTTCAACACCATCACTTTTCCTTAAGAGATAAGAATGCATCATTTGGCCCTTTAAAATGCAACATCATTTTTTTTATTTTTCCTTTCTTTTTCCTGCTTATCAGTCTCTTGTTTGATGTAACATCAGAAAAAATATTCTGAATTTGCCATTGGTGTCTGTTTTTGCCAAGAGTTGTGATGATGTAAAGGTTATTTCTGCTATTACTTTTCCAAAACCTTTTTTAAGTTGTTGGAGCAAAACCACACTGAGCTTCTTTAATTCCAGAAGACGCCCTACTGTCTCTAGGGAAGAGCAGACCAAATAAAAAGAGAGCATCATTCCCAGTTTTGTTAGCTCACTTTCAGTACTGGTCTGACCATAGTATTTATGGATAGATGAGGATTAAGTTTGGAAAGAAAAGTGTGATTTTTGGATATCATAGTGACAGAAGTTTGGTTCCAGGGGAATAAGATCATATTCCTATCTACTTTTTTTCTTTCATCAGCAGAATATCTGAATGGAGAAATATTTTCCTTCAACTTTCCGTACAAATAGTGTAGAATAAAATTTTCCATTATTTTTCCCCCCATTGGTTAATAGGCCCTGTCTTCTCTCACTGATGAAATGAATAGTGGGACACGTAGTTGTTTGCTCAGCCATGTCCTTTTTTTTTGTTTCACATGCTCACCTCATGTTTACCCAGCTTTTATGGCTACATCCTCTCTCTCTCTGGCAGCTAGACTTCCTGGGGCACAGACTATCTCACTTTACCATCTGCAGCACAGGGAGCCTGGGGGTGCTCAGTTCCTCTTTGGACAGGAGTAAAAATACACAAACCAGTGGTTGCTCTTCTTCCTCACATCACATGGCTGCATTTTCTTTACAGCCCCCTACTACTGGGACTGTTCAATGTCAGCAGTTGTTTCCTTGATAAGCGTTTTGTTTCAAGAGCAAAAAAACAATGGGATCTTCAGAGGGATTCAAGGACCAGAAGAGCTACATGAATCTTCCTAAGAGAATGCATAATTTCAGGCAAACAATAACGTGTCCCATAGTTTGTCCAGGAACAAAGTTCTCATTAAAGCTGTTTTTGTTTGGTGTCCACAATGCTGCTTGGTTTGGCTGCCCCTTTGGGGTGATGCACTCTTCTGTGAGAGTACAAAAAGGCTGTTCAGCATCTGCCAGTTTTAGAGGCCGGGGTTGTGAGGATCTTCCGCTGAAGATTTTCTGCTGGACTCGTTCCATATTGTGTCACAACGAGGTGGAATTCCCTGAATGCTGCAGATTGTCCCCTGGATTTGCAGGGAGAGATTTCTTGCAATAAGTTACTACTCTAGGCAAGTGGTGCATCTTTTGCCTACATCTGCAGTGTGGGGAGGTGGTGGTGAATGTTGTGTGTTGCAAAGAAATCGGAGGGAGAGAGGCAAGGGGGAGAGCGAGATCCGAAAGTGGGGACAGGATGGCAGTGAATATAATGAGACTGCTTTTGACAGCAGCACACAGTCATCTTCTGGTCACTAAGAGCTCAGGGGGTCCCCAGATCATGAAATCCAGGCTTGAAGTGCTGGTGAGTGTGAGCACTTGGAGAACAGCATCAGCAGTTACCACAGTGCTGGGAGCAAGGTGGACAGAGACCTCTCTAAATGTGAGAGAAAACCATATGCTGTCATTCTGGAGAGTATAAAGTTTCTCTCCCAGCAACATCCAGGTCAGAATGCTGGGCTCTTACAGCACTGAAACACTGAATTTCTATTCCATAGCAAAGTTTTATATTACACCTGTATCAAATGAACACAGAATAAAATTATATATATATTATAAAACAACTTCCCATGTATACAGATGGTTTAATTAATAGGAGGTTTGTTTTGTCTTAACTTTTTTAACCACAGAAGAATTTAGAGCTTTCAGTCACAAAAAACAGACTATAGCCAAAACTATCCAGACAGAAAAGTGTTAGTGTGTGAGACAGCATGTTTCTTCAGACATCTCTGGAGATACACTGTGCCTCATGCTTAATATCTGTCCCTGTTCTCAGTTCTTTCAATCAGGAATCAAATATATTGATGTGGCAGCTTAGTCTTGAGCAAGCAACTACCATAAAAAATTGCAGATTCCATATCTAATTATTTTTTACCTAGTGAATGAAAAAAGTGTAAACACTTCTCATAACAGCAGTTTGACTTTCCTGTTTTTCTGTGTAATTTACATGTTATCCCCTTCCTTGCAGGACTTTATTTCCACCTGACATTGAGAGACAGTCCTGTTCAGCAGTGTACTTCCAGCAAAAACATAAATCTTAAGCAGGCTGGTTTTATCAGATTTAGCAGATTGGTATCCTGAGTTCTTTAGTCAATATTCATTTCAAACTTTTAGCTCAGAATGTATTTTTCTTTCATAGTGTTGAGCTAGTGTCCACTTAAACTAGCCAAAAGGCCAAAACTTGCACACAAACTTCATCTGTTATAGAAGTTCTTCCAAATAAAACAACAATTTGACGTGTTTGTACTGCCAACTCAGAGAGAAAAAACCCCAGTTTGTCAAAACAATTATATTTTTATGTAGCCACAAGAGCACTCATTCAGTTCATATGATACTACACTGCCAAAGAGAGCTCTGGCTTTCTCTGAGAAGCAAACCATGAAGGATTAACAGAGCAGACCTGTTATTTGTCAATAGGTGGATCCTGTTTTTATCCTCTTACTTTTCCCAGACAGTGACAAATTTCTGACAAGGGGAACAGCTATCTCTCTTCTGTTCTCCATCTCCCACAGCTGACGTGGACAGATGGAGTAGGTTGCCACAGTTTTTTGCCTTTGCCTGCCTTTCTCCTCTCTTTCTGCTTCATAATGTTGATGATTTTCTTGTGGTTTTTACCTTGCTATCATCGTTGCACTAAAGTCCTGAGTAAACTGGGGAGTTTTCTTGTTCAGGTCACTGAGAACACAATTATTGTATTGAAGGGCACAAGGGCAGGTATTACCAGGCCTTTCCTTCTCCAGTGAATCCATGCCAGCTCGTAACTAAGGGGATTTGTATCTGAACTGTCTTCAGACTCCCAATCTCCTTGATTCCCTTCAACAAAATAAGCTCTTCCTTTCCGAAATAGGTTCTGCGTGTTGATTTCAGATCAATCAGACAGCAACAAAATGAGGTGACTCTAGGTTTTGTTTCTCACATGTAACTAGCCTTCTTTTTTTTTTTGTCTCTGCAGATCCCTGTCGGTACTGAGATCAAAGGGATGAACATCCTGGGACTGGTGCTGTTTGCTCTGGTTTTAGGAGTGGCACTGAAAAAGCTTGGCCAGGAGGGGGAAGATCTGATTCGCTTCTTTAACTCATTCAATGAGGCAACAATGGTCTTGGTTACCTGGATTATGTGGTAAGTGTGTGGCTGCAAATGCATCTGCACTGCAGTGTTATGCTCAGGTCAGAAAACTCACATTTTATCTCTCTTCTGGCTTTTTCCTGTGAAATCCCTCATCCCAGCAAAAGTGAATGTTGTGGTGTCACACAATGGGGTCTTTTCTCCTTGCTTGTACCCTGTAATGAGACAGTCACAGATAGCTTAAGGTATCAGGCTGGAAAACTTAAAAGGGTTGCCTATAAGTCCTCTCCAGAACTCCTTTTTGATTATTTAGGGGAAAGATAACTCAGTATTTCCTAAGGCTGATTTATTTTTTTATTCCTGCCTATTAATAAGCAAATACATTATTTCACTTAATTCCTTGGAGTCTAGAAAAGTTTATGGGATGAATATTGCTCTTATCAATCCCACAAAGCTTTTGATGCCAAAAAAATTCTGTTAGGAACTGGAGCACACTGGACTTTATCATTAGGCAAGAAACCAGAATTGAAGGAGGCAGGCACCTCTAGAGAGTGGTTCAAGTCACCTAAGCTGGGGTAGGAGCAGCCATCTGGCTGGGTTTGCCATCAGGTGGGATGAACCTGGGCCTCAGAGCAGTGTCAAGGCTGTCCTTGGGTAGCTGTATTGAATTAGGCTGCCCCTGTGAAACCAACAGTACTAACATCTGACATACAAAATAAAAAATATTCATAAAGATAGCTAGCAAACAAATTAACAGCGGGACATTCCTCACTCCCTTTCCAAAGCTGGTGAAAGCTTAAGCTTTTTGCTCTTGAGTGTAATTCCTTGGACACTGAATACTGATAAGAGGCAGTTAATGTGTTCAGCTTATTACAGTGCTAGCACTTCAAGCCAATCAGTTGGTATGTAATCCTTTATTTTGTGGATTATAAGGACCACTGCTGACCCTTAACAGTGAAGCCCTTACTTGTTCTCTTTCCTTCCTTAAGGCTCTTGTGTAGTCCGGTATTTATTCAAAATCTGTCAAGCTGTATGTGCTTCCCAAGGGATACTTTGGAATGGTGAAATCATACTACCTGGAGCAAAGGCAGCTTGAGCTCTTATCTGATCCTGTTCAAGAGCCACTCTCGTGCTTAGCAGCACTTTGGTCTCAACTTTCAGTTCTTTCCTCTCCAGCCTCCCTCTTCAAGGGGAGGAATTCAGTATTCACAGCTTGTGCAGGACAGGGCTCAGCTGGATCTGGTTAATCAGGGTCCTCAGAAACACAGTTCAAAGGCAGAATTGCAGAGGCTAAGTAGGGAATGTTCCACAGGACTCCCTAGAGATTTGGCCACGGGAGGACAGAGGATCACATGGATCTAGGACATAGGGAAGTGCTCTCTGCATGGAACAGGGGAGCTGCAGAAACACTGAGGGACAGGCAGGCCAGGAAGAAGTGAGTGATCTGAGCAGCCTTAAGGCTTTCCCACCTTTCCAGACCTTTGCATGACCTTCTGAAGTTTGTCCTGACTCCACAAATCAGCTTCTCTGAGCATGGACATTGGATTCTTTATTCCTGAGATGTACAGGCAAATCTTTTGTAGCCACATGTTTTCCTGGGGCAGGATTTTGGGGAGCTGGGTGATCTTCTAGTATTTCTTAATCTTAGAAGCAGAAAGGGATGGAGCATGGACAGCATCAGCAGAGGTACTCAGACACAAACATCCCAGTAGAACTTTGGAAGGAGCTGGCCCTGGGCCTGCAGTGTTTGACAGAGTTTGTTTAGAGCTGCTGTGCTGTTGGTTCGAGGGCAGTTCAGTCTTTTCAGGGCTGATCCCAGCTGCACTACTGGGACCAGAGGTGTGGCTGTAGCCTGCAGATGGCCCTTCCCCTGGAGCAGCTCCAGGTACTCTTGACAAAGCAAATCTCAAACAAATTCTGACGTGGCATGTTTCTAGATGGGAGGAATGGATGTGTGTGAGTGCCTGGTTGTTGGCTTGGGGGAAGCTCTGGAAGCCTGATCATTTAACTTATCCCTTTTTAGGCAAATAGCAGAGTTAATTGCTGTCTTTGGCACATGCATCAGCAGCCTTTAGCTGAGCTCTCTGGTATGTGCACAGCTTTTTCTTAACCTCCACTAAGCTGGCACCCAGCGTGTCTGTGATTTTAATGACCTGACTCTGTACTCCTTTGGGAGTTTCTGCATGTGTAAGACCCAACTCTTTCACCCCTCTCTACTTCAGTGATGTAATGCTTCCCTCCCCTTCCCTCCCTTCCCCACTGGTGTCTTGTCCTGGTAGCTCCAGGCAGCATTTCTGCTTCCCACTCACCTTTCCTTTGGCACGCTTCTAGCTGTGTCTCTGAGAGCATAAGTGAGCAAACCTTTTAAATTTTGACTGCTTATCATCCACCAAACAAGAGTCTTAGAGAAAAGCCTTCCAAATTTGGCTATCATGAGCTTGTGGTGAATAAGGAACCACCTTTCAGTAAGAGCATCAGATTTTTAAGTGGAGTGTTATCTCCGGGAAGGAAGATGTTGTGTTTTCCAAAGCTTCTTGTTTGTACTTAATGACAACCAATATTTCATTTCCACAGGTATGTACCTATTGGCATTATGTTCCTTGTTGGGAGCAAGATTGTGGAAATGGAAGATATTGTGCTTCTGGTGACCAGTCTGGGAAAATACATCTTCGCCTCTATCCTGGGCCATGTCATCCACGGAGGAATCATTCTGCCGCTTATTTATTTTGCAGCCACACGGCAAAATCCGTATCGTTTTCTCTTAGGACTTATCACACCACTTGCCACTGCCTTTGCCACTTGCTCCAGGTGGGTTTCTGTGGCACTTCTGGGATTATAGCCTGGTTATGTTTGTCACCCTAAACTGGCTGTATCCAGGTTTAGGTTTAGGTGTGAATATTGTTCTTGAGGTTGCAAAAAGAGTCTTCTGAGCATAGTCTCACTACTGTCATCAGCCTGCCACACAGCACATGCTGTTGAAAAGAATTCCTCAAAATGCTGGGGCCGTAGCATGATGCTGAGTTGGAAATATTGTCTTTAAATGCTCCTGCCAGCTGTTCTTTCAGTTTGAAGTAAAGTAAGGGTCAGTAGTGAGGGACTTGTCCTCAGAAGTTTACTTTTGAAGTTCAGAAGGACCTGGAACAAATTTAGACTGATTTTGTAGGAGCAAAGCAGACTTGCTTTCTAGTGTAAAGACATTAGTATGTATTTCAAAGATCTGGCCTGATCAGGTTTTATTTTTCATAACCAAATGATTGAGCATGTCATTTACACTTTTCTCAAGTACAAACACCTGATCAAATAACATATCTATAACACCTGAACAAATAACATCTCTATATAAAATCATTAAATTCATGGCAAATCATTTTCATCATCTCTAAAAGTAGGTGCATGTCTGTCAAAGGACCTGAAATACTATTCATAAATTCTCTCTTTCTGCACAGTAGGAGAGGGTTTATGAGTAAAACCATGTGATTTGTAGTGCCAGAAATAAATCCAAGAGTGATGTTTTATTTTTAATTATTTTTCTGTTCATTTGAGGTCCTAATACAACATTAACAGAGATTGCTGTTGCATCTGTTGTGTTTATATTATCATAGAATAATAGAATGGTTTGGGTTGGAAGGAACTTTAAAGATCATCTAGTTCCAACCTCCCCTGCTATATTTGCATCTGTTATTGTATTTTTGTAGTTTGAGACTTGTTCATTCCACAGCCTTGTAATGCTGCATACTGTGTTTGAGTCATGAGTTGTAGCTCCTGGGAGATTAAAGTCTGTATCAGCTATTTCTGGATGAAAGCAGATTATTAAATACCTTTGCTCAAAACTCAACGTGGAGGGTCCCTCATTGCCATCATATGAAACTATAAAATGGCACTGTTGTCTTGACAGTCCTGTCTGCAGCATGCTAGAAACATGAAAGCCATGAGACAGTGCTGGGGCATTCAGAGCACCCTGGTGCTCTGTGTTTCATTTCTCCCTGTTCTGTTTCCAGCTCAGCCACACTCCCGTCCATGATCAAGTGTATTGAGGAGAACAACGGAGTCGACAAGAGGATCAGCAGGTTTATCCTTCCCATTGGGGCCACTGTAAACATGGATGGTGCTGCTATTTTCCAGTGCATGGCAGCTGTGTTTATTGCTCAGCTGAACAATGTCGACCTCAACCCTGGGCAGATCTTCACAATTCTGTAAGTTGCTTGCAACCACATCCTTCTGGCCCCCAGACACATTCAAGCTGTGGTCTCTCCATTAATAACTAACAGTTAGCATTCCAGATCTCTGATCTAAAGCTTACAAACTGCTATGTAACATAATTATAGGGTGATTAAAGGATGGAGTCTTTAAACCTTTACAAGATTTGCCAGAGTCTCGATTTAATAAAAGATGGAACCTGGGAGGGGTAATTGAATTCTGAAACAGACTTTGAGCTGTTTAAAGCTCTTTTTCACAGGAAATTCCTCTCCTTCCTTAAGCATCTCACTCCTCCATCCTCCAGTCACCATTAGGCTGGGTAATTGAGGCATTCTGTGCTGCCCAGAAAGCAACCCCTGATTCACCCTCTGGATGCCTTAGAAAATTCTCCTGCCATCTCCTTGGTTCTTTATGCATCTATTTCATACTAAAGACTCTGTTCCTGCTCACTTCTGTCCTTCCTACCATCACATTGCTGGCTTTCCTGATCAGATCTCTTGTTGTTCCCCTCCTAACTGCGTTGCTCCATTATCCCTTCCACCACCTCATTCCTACCTCCTTCTCTAAGACTCTCTCCCCTCTATGCTTGGAATATCCTCTTCTGTTCCATACCTCATGAAGTGTTGTTATCTTCATTTCTCTCCTCAAAATCCCTTAAATTAAGATGCTACAAGCAGTTCTCCTCACTGGAGTGGCTCCTCACTGTGCCCAGCAGCCACAGCTGCGTCCACCAGATGCTTCCTAGGGCTGGTTCCTGGCATTTTTTAACCCTGCCTGGCCAGGTTTTAGTTCCTTCTTGATTGTGTTTCCCAGTATGTCTGTTTAAGGCAGGGCTGGGGCATTGAGGTTTTTTTGGTAGGTAGCCAAATTAGCTTTTCAGGTACTCTCAGTGAATCAGGTGTGAAGGCAGGTCTGAGGATGATGCAGTGATAGCCCAAGGAAAGCTCAGTTGCAGACACCTGCACACAAAAAGGTGGGTTGAGGACATGCACTGCAGGTTTCCAGCTCCTGACTTAGGGTCTGTGTTGGGATGCAAACAAGACCCAGAGAAGGTGCTGTATCCTGCATGGCAGAGTGCCTTTATACATGTGGTGTCAGGAGGTGTAAGTCACTCAGCCTACTGGAGCTGGGGATGTTAGTAAGGCAGCAGGATCCAGTTGTGTTGGTTGTTTCTTATCCTGAAAAGGCAGTCCTGGTGTTGAACCCAGAGCCATTGCCACGGTAACTGCTGCGGATCCCTGCTGAGCCCCTGTCCTCTGTACCCTTTGCATCAGCAGGCAGGAAAAGGTTTGCCTGGGAAGCAAATGCTCCGTGTGTCCCATGCTGGAGTGTTTGTTTGCAATTCCCATGGTGGGGAAGCACGTGACAGAGTGCAGCAGGGAGCTGGGAGCTCCTCTAACCAGGCATGGACGTTGATTTGCAGCGTGACGGCCACGGCGTCCAGCGTGGGAGCGGCCGGGGTCCCTGCCGGAGGCGTCCTCACCATCGCCATCATCCTGGAGGCCATCGGGCTGCCCACCAACGACCTGTCCCTCATCCTGGCCGTGGACTGGATCGTGTGAGTACTGCAGGCCTCAAATACCTGCTGTTGCAAGGCACAGAAACATGGAATTACAGAAAAAAACGTTCAGATTGTCAAGTCCAGTGTGGCACCACCACCATGCTCACCATTAAGCCACGTCATGGGGGCTCTACCACTTCCCTAGACAGTCTGTTCAAATGCTTTACAACCCTTTCCATGGAAAATGTTTTTATAATATCCAATCTAAACCTCCCCTGGTGCAACTTGAGGCAGTTTCTTCCACTTGTTACGTGGACATCTACCTCACTGCAGCATCCTTGTAGCATGTTTAGCTGGAAACATGGTGAACAGACAGATATGACCCAGTATAAAATAAAACCCAGTATAAAATAAGACCCTCTAAGACGTCTGTCTACAGGACAGGTAACTCTTGATGGGGAATGGAAAAGGTGGTGTCTTCCCAGTTAAAGCAGTCAATATGCTAAAATCCTTCTTCAGCTTTTTTATTCAGCCTTTGTAGAAATGTATTTTTTTCTTGGCTTCAATTCCCATCAGAACAGTTGTTAAAAGTCAAAAAAGTCAGTTAAAACTTTAGAAGATGTTGATATTGCTGGAAATGAATTGGCCAGTAGAAGGGCAGAGGAAGACAAAGGAATTTGACTCTTGAATAATATCAGTTGTGGAAAGTTTCCTTGGTCACATGTGGGAAGCAGTTTCCATCAGAAGCTCTTGTCAGCTATTGTTTGATTTCTTTTCTTATATAGTTTCAAGATTGATGAAAGCACTAACACAGATGTCATAGAGGAGGGGTGCTGTCCATTGGCAGGGCAGGAGCATGGAGGGTTTGTGGCACTTGTCACTGCTGTGAGCAATGTTGTGGCTGGAACATGCTGCTGAGAGCCACAAGTTTAGTAGACAGTATTACCACCTTTCCTTTTTGTCTTCTGGGAAAGAAGTAAGAGGCCAGATTGGGTCAAGTGAATCCTGCTTAGGTAATTTTTTTCCAGTTGATGGGTTACTGGGCAGTTCCTGGTTTAAACTGCACTTAATCCCTCGGCATTGCTTTTTGGAAACATCAGCCTCTGTATAGATGGTGCATTCCCATAGCAGATATGGAAATAAGGATTCCTGAGGATACCCTTGAATTTCAGAGACTGGAGAAGGTGGCAGCTGTATTACTTTCCCTTCCCATACAACATGGGTCTTTGGAGCATATTCCTACAGCTTCCTTAAGGTCATCACACTTTTTATTACTGTAACCTCCTGGGGATCAGCCACCTCCAGAGGACAGGAGATACAGGCAAAGCAGTGGCTAGACCTTTTTATCCTGTCTTTCTAAGGAAGTACAGTAGTGGCTGGGCATTCCTCAGCGGTACTTGCAAGTGCTTTGAGGCAAAAGTGAAAAAAGAGTGAAAAACATGCCCTTCCCTTCATTTGGGCTGCTCTCAGCCTGTCTTGTGCTGGTTGCCTTCCTTTTAAAATTGGTAGCATCCCTCTGTGGTCAACAGTTTCTCGTCAAGGAGCTCAGCCTTGTGGTAACAAAAGGGGGAAGGAGTCCCATGTCTTGCTTTAATGACAGCTGTTTAATTACCAGAGAGAACCACAACCACAAGTTGAGCCTCTGTTAAAAGTTAGGCTGCAGAATGACTAGCAAGTCTCAAAAGCCACATGAAAACATTGTTCATCTTTATGACCCATAAATCTCTTCCATTACCCCTGGCACACTAGTTTTGTATTGTAGGACCAAAAATTAGGGCAGGTGCTAGGGGCAACGAATGCAGACAACACAAGTCATTCTACCTCCTTTTGGAAGGATCCCTTAAGTAGGTACTTGGATTAAGATACCAGTCACAGTAGTTAAAAAAGAGAGCTGGGTGCTCTGAGTCACTTTCTGGATAAGCCTGAAGTAAGTTCCTGCTCTGAACATGCATTTGAAAAATGCTGGCCTGGAGAAGGGGAAGAGGAAGGAGATACCTTGTGTAAAGGAGGATGCCTGACAAAGAGTTGTACCATTGCTGCAACCCACAGAGAGACCAGAACCAGCTGATAGTGACAGACTTTAGATAGACCTTAAACCTGCTCTGGCACACATTTTTAGTTCTGAAATAGTGATGAGACTTCTGTGGAAAGCACCTGTGATAACTACATCTCCCTTGTCTAGCTCCAGTAATGTTAGTGGTTCAGCAGGGGTGAATCAGCCCCCCTTACTGTGTTGTAACTCTCTTAAAACTAAAAGCCTGCTGCTTTGGTTTTTGTTTCTGATCTTCACCAGGGACCGAACCACCACAGTTGTCAATGTGGAAGGGGATGCCCTGGGAGCGGGCATCCTTAATTACCTGAACGAAAAAGACAAGAAAGAGAGAGAGCAGGAGCTAAAGGAAGTCACCGTAGAAGCAATTGCAAACAGCAAGTCTGAAGCGGAAACGTCACCTTTGGTAACCCACAAAAACCCAGTTTCCAACACAAGCAGCACAGCAGACCCTGAATCCAAGGAATCAGTATTGTGAACTCGAGGCCGCTCGTCAAGACCAGTCCTAGAAGTGGCCCAGGGACTTACCAACGCACCCAGACGTTTGCAGTGCGACCAGGGGCTGGATGGCTCTTGGAAGTGCTCGGTTCCAGTCTGTTTTGAAATATGCTGGCCTGGGGAAGGGGAGGGAGGTGGGGTGGACAGAGAAGGGGTGCTGAGAAGGAACACTCGCTTTATAATAGTATTTTGATAGTTTGTGTGTGTACATGTATACGTGTTGCGCGTGCACACTTGTGTACATGTATGTGAGAGCTGCCATTGAGGCTTCTGGTGTAACAAGACTTCCATTAGTGATGGCTCAGATGGGTTGAAGGTAGGAAGGTAGACATACTCAGTATGTGCTTATTGTAGGGAAAAATTAGTAAGCTTATTTTTGCTGCTGTTTGAATGGTGAAGCAGTCTAGAAACTCCAGAGTGGGTAAAAATGTTGCTTAAATTTGTTTTCTAGCCTGGAAACACTGATCATTACAGCCATGATATGAAGCAACATTTTTCTCCCACTCCCCTTCCTTTCATGTTCTCCGATCCATTAAAAACATTGAACATGTCCTTAAAAACAGCTGTTTTCTATTTTTAATTTTTTTTTTTGTTTGTTTCATACCTAAATTGATAGCTTATAGGGATCTGTTTCATTCTCCCATTTCATTGCAGCTCATAGCAGCTTTCCTACCTTTTGGTGAATAACTCCCAAACTGTGGGACCAAAAAGAGATGTTTGTGCAGATCAAGGATTGGTTTCCTCCTTTCCTCTAACCAAGCTGTTAAGGAAAAAATCCAGAGGAAGCACAAATTTTGTTCAAGTAAACCCTTTGGGGCTGAAAAAAATGTAGAGTCTGTTCCAGCCTTAGTATGTCTGAAAGAGGTTTGCCTGTGACAACATCCATAAATGCAGACGTCAGTTCCCTTCATGAAAACACATGATCCTCTGTTAGCACACCCTGTCTTGTTCATGTTTATTTAATGGGTCTATCCAAACAGTTTTAGTCATATTCTCTTCCAGCTAAATTGAATAGGGGAGGAAAAATTCTGAACACACATCATGTGGAAACTAACGACGGGCAAGTCTGAGTCTTGGCTTGAAAAGGGAAGAGAAGAGGTGAGTTTATAATCCCAGTGATCTCTGTGTGGGAGCTGGCTACCTGTTCCTGCTAGGAGTTTAGTCCTGCCATAAATGTTCTTCTGGCAGCAATTTACTTCTAGTAGTCGTGGGTAGTGCTGAGCCAGGGTAATGCTTTAATGGCAGATGGTAACCTTTGCTTAAGACTCAGCCACATGCTTCTGGATTCTTATTCCTCCTTTTTGCCTTTACAGTGACCTTCCTGAATTTACATCCCAAACCTGAACAGAGTCTGGCAAACTCATTGCAAAGATCCTGTTGATTTATATTTATACTCTTTGGATGCTAATAGTTAAAAAATTATGACTGCACAGGCCAAGATTTGCTTGGACTTGTGATGTTTTCCCTTGGCTACTTAACAAGAGATTGCATGTGGTCCATCTCCACACTGTTAATTCAACAATATATATTTACTCTTAGCTTTGATATAAAGTAATGCTAAAGTCTCCTTTTTTCTTGCTCCTCTCTTGCTTCAGAGGAATCTATCTCGGAAAGATATCAGCACTAGGAAGAGGCAATTCCAATTGCATAGCAGCAAACCTTCCTTTGCAAAGCATCCCTTCTGGTAAAGGGACACAATGAATTTTGCAGAAAGATGCTCAGAGACGTGTCCACCCCTGAAGGAGAGTGCAGTGAGTGCATCATGACTGGCTGTGCACTGGAGCCATGCAGACAGTCCAAGTAGGAAAGGATTAGTCAGCCCACTGGGAAACTGCAGGTGGAGTTTCTTTTTAACCAGTTTATTTTTAATCATGTCCACAAAATGTGGTCATTCCTTGGCTTATCTTCAAAATGGAAGGAGACAAACACAATTCTGTAGGGATGTCTTTTGCCCAACAGATCAACTTTGCATTTCTTCCTGTTAGAATCATCCCGACTCCTTTCAACTCAGGAAACCAAAAGCACATTTTTAAGTCTAAATATCTCTTTGAAATATCGAAATGCACCAAAACACCAGGTACTTGGATTTTAAAATAGTATATGGATGTCTCAAGGAAGCTGAAAATCCTGACTGTCCCCTGTGGGCTGTGTTCTGTAGTTGCATTTTATCCCTCATCAGATGTTTAGCTCCTGTGCTTTTGTGAGACCCCCTGGAATACTGTGTCCGGTTCTGGTGTTCCCAAAGTAAGGACATGGAACTGTTGGAGCAAGTCCAGAGGAGGGCCACGAAGAGGATGGGACCACATCCACTGCAAATACAGGCTGACAAAGTGAGGGCTGTTCAGCCCAGAGAAGAGAAGGCTGCACTGCAACCTTGCAGTATCTAAAGGGGCCTACAGGGAAGCCAGAGAGGGGCTTTGTCAAGGACTGTAGTGATGGGACAAAGAGCAGTGGGTACAAACTAAGAGATGAAATTTAGGTTGGATATTAAATTTTTTTTACTGTGGGGGTGGTGAGACACTGGAACAGGCTGCCCAGGGAGGTTGTGGATACCCCAGCCCTGACTGTTCAAAGCCAGGCTGGATGTAACCTGGTCTAGTGGGAGGTGTCCCTGCACATGTCAGGGGGACTGGAACTGAGTGATATTTAAAGTCCTTTCCAACCCCTCAACGTTCTGTGGTTCTGTCATTCTCTCCCTCGCTGTGACACATGCAGCTAGGATCAGGACTTGAGGGCAGCACTAAAATAACAATTCATGAGGCATCAGCACCATTTCAGAGAAGAACACATCTAAATTTTTTTATTTTTTTTTTTTTACCCACAGGTGAAAGCACTGCCCTGGGCAAACCCAAAGGCTGGGCTTCCTTGCAAGGCAGCACTTTGGCGCTGGCATATGATCCTTCTTCCCTTTGGTGCTGCAGCCAGAGCGTGCCTTTTCCTTGTAGCAGCATCCTACAGGCTGTGGCACATTGTTCCTGACAGGGGATCCCAGGAAATGGAAAATTAAAGCAAATACCCCAGTGTTGGTATTTTCCAATAGCAATGCAAAAGCTCAGAATCTTCACTGAACACTTCTCCCAGTCCCCACTAGTGGATTGCCATGTTTGCATCAGTGTGAATGTCTAGTCCCAGGTAAAGCTTGTTAGAGCAGTTGGATTTAACGAGGTCAGATCGTTCTCTTAGCAGGAATTCAATCAAGGAAATCTGACATTCCTTCTCTTGGAAACAGATATCATAGGATTTATATGAACCATGAGTATTCAGCTCTTAACCTGCCAGAAATCTGTAGTCTTACAGGAGCTCTACTTTAGACTTAAAAAGAACTGCCAGTTCTTTTGTTGTTTGTGCAGAACAAGAGGGATCTATGGAAGCAGGGTGCTGCTTGTCAGAATATCTTCTTGGCCATTTTTTTATCATTTGTGTCAGAATTTACATTTCTTATTTTTTTTTTGTGTTGTTCCCATTCCTCACAATAGCTGTGATGCATTCTAGAACACTCTACCTGGATTGTTTTTTTAAGGAAGGAATATGAGAGATCCAATATTGCCCTCTTTCTTTCAGACTGTAAAAAGTGACACATTCCAACAACTGCCACTGTAACAATGTGCATCCTAGTGGAAAGCCTGATGAGATAGAAGACTTGCCATTTGCTTTAAATGGTCAGGGTCTTCAAGAAAGGCCACTGAGGGAAAAATGAGAGGGCAGTTGAGGGATATGAATTTGAGATGCTGTTCTTGACCTGCAATGTAAATGTGTTACACTGGGAGCTTCCTGTTCCAGGAGGCTGTGAGCTGAGAAGGCTCCAGGAGCCTTGCAGGTGCAGCCAGGGGTACCTGCTCTGCTCTGCTCTTAGCCAGGCACTCCACAAATCTGGTGCCAAGTGTGGTACTTAACTCCAATGTCTCTTGACTGGACATACATTTCTGTTCTCCTGACAGAGGAAAGAAGTTCCTCTTAAATAGAAGAAATACAAAACACTACTTTTCTATTTGATTTTAGGTTGGATTTTTCGTTGTTTTTGTCTTTTTTCTGGAAGGTACAAGTTCTCTCCTCAGCTCACATCCTACCCTCTTTTGAGAGAAAGACACAGAAATCCCATGGTGTGTTTCTTGGGGTGTCCTGTGCAAGGCCGGGAGTTAGACTCAATGATCCTCATGGGTCTCTTCCAACTCAGTGGATTCTATGTTCCTATGAAATATTGAAGAGTTTGCAAGCCTTTTTTCAGTGAAGTTTCTTTGACCATTTTGAACCATCTTTTATTTCTTCTGTAGGAATGTCATTTCACTCCGTGCTTCATCACTGCCTGATGTCATCCTGTTTCCTGGAATACTCTATGCTCTTTTTATGTTTCAGTGCCTCAGGAATAAATGGAAGAATGCAGAGAGTTTTGAGAGCTCCATTTTGCATTCTGCCTTTCTCCTGTCCTGAACTCAGCAGAGGTTTGTGAGCCTTGGTAATTCAGAGTTGCTCTGAGAGTGCAGAGCAGTATGTGTCACTCACATTGAGAAAGGTGCATGTTCTGTGCTGTGAGATGTGGCTGTAGCCTGAAAAACTGTAGTGGGCGGTGGAAGGTGCCAGGACTTGACTCTTCTTGGGTATTTTCAGTAAAGATCTTGTATTCCTACAAGCTTTAGCTGAGTCTTGGTGTTGGTAATTGCAAAGAACTTCAAACTCCTCTGGAGATGTCCCTTGCAGTCAGGATGGCTTTTGTGTTGAGAATGGACTAGAGCCAATCCCAGGGCTTCCCCTGCTGGGATGTGACAAACAGGACTGTGTCCTTTGGATATCAGAGATGTGGAGCCAGCCAAAGTACCACATCAATTGGTGAAACAATCTCTGCTTTGTCTTTTCTGGTTAGTCCTGAGGAGGCAATGGCCCTGAGCTAGAGATGGTGAGAGATTGGAGGGGAGGGTGTGAGGGGTAGGAAGGTTTTCCTGGTGCTTGCTCTGTTCCGTGTCACCATTCCCATTCTCCTGTGGTTCCTCTTTATCTTGCAGCAAGAACAATGAAATCTGAGGTATTTAGGCAATTCTTCCTTCAGTGAAGTCAAAGTCCCTGTAATCTCTGTGACTGACCACCCAGCCATATGTTGTAGGTTGTGTCCTCAAGAGCTTGCAAAAGGGACAAAACCACCACCTCTTCTGCAAAGATTTGCAGCATTGGTCAACAGTCCAGGCTAAATTTGCACTCTAATCCTCTGCTAACACAATGCATTTCTGCAGCCACTGTAAAGAATCATCCTGTTGGAAATGATAATTTTTAATCCTGACCCTCCCACAGGCAGTGAGCAGTGGGCCTCAGGTACCAAGTCAAAAGACCAACATAGAGACTCTCACCAAAGAAAAATTGTCACATCTAGATTGATTTGACAGAGCCTTGGCAGTTCATGATCACAGAGCTGCCTGTAATGACTGATCTGGTGACAGATGAACAGCGCAGAATTAGGCAGATTGCATTAGTCCTATACCTGTGCTTCCTTTTCTGTAAATCAGGTTTACAGATATTTACGTGTCTCTCACAGGCCATAGTGTGGAAGATAGTTGCAATGTTTAGAAAGCACTC